GTGCCTTTGACAGCAGGAAATGCCACGAGGGTGGGATGCCAACGCTACCTTGGTGCCCACCTGTGGCCTGACCTGCGTCCTTGGCCCCGATACAGGTCCTTGCAGGCACCTGGAAGCAAACGTGTGAGCCCCAGTGCTCCGCCCTTGGAAGTGGTAAACCGCAGCGGCCGAACCAGTTCCCATAGGCTCCTGGGCTGTTGTTCTCAACCTCAATCGCACCTGTGACTCGCCGACCCCTCTCCAGGAGCCCCCACAGTCTGGGGTCTGCGCTGGACTAAGCGGTGTCTGACCCCAGAAGTCAGGCCAGGCCTGCACGAGGCTCCTACATACGCGGTGGTTTCCTCACTCAACATGCGTACTGAGAGCCCCTGAGGACCGCCTCCTCCCCCTTGAGTCTATTCCTAGAGGGAGCTGGACCCTCTTCCAGAACAGTCCTTTCCTGCTTCCCAACTCCTATCCCGACCAAGGAGTACCTTCACGGCAAGGACTTGCTGTGGTCCTGGGAGAGACTCCTGAGCAGCCTGCAGATTTCTGGGACTCCGCCTCCCAAATGCCCAGGGTCCCAGTCCCCCCCTCCTCGGGAGCTGGACCTCCATCTGGAAGGTCACAAAAAGATAACAGTGGCCACCACATACTGGACACTCACCTGCGCCAGGTATGCAATGCTAAACTTTTACAGAGGGTTTTGATTCTCATGATCCCTCTGGAAAAAAAGAACTGTCCTCGTTCACAGGCTAGGGCACAGAGGTTCTGAGGGCTGACACACGCTTGAGCAGCCACAGAGCGGAGCAGCAGGGCCCGGGTTCACAGCCAAGCTCGGCGGGGAGAGCTGAGGTGACACTTGCCCTGGAGGTGTGGGGATTTGGAATAGCTATTGGCGCAGGAGCCAGGCCAGGCCAGTGTCCCTCTTTTCCAGACAAGGCCTGGGCCACGTGGTGCCCTCTGCTGGCCATGGGCCCACCTGCACCAGCTCCCAAGTGGCTGCACTCCCAGCACCCCGGGGGGCTGCTCCCGCCCTCCACACACCCCCATCCGGCTCAGCTCAGGGCTCAGAAGACAGCCCGCAGAACTCAGGAGTCCCCTCTCCTTGCCGCCCCCCCCCCCGACCCTTCCTGTCCCATTGACCTGTGTGTGTCGGGGGGAGCCTTGGCTGCTCAGAGGCCTCAAGCCATGACGGCCCAGCCTCTCCGGGATCTTGTCTTGGCTGTTGGCCAGGGCTGGTGGGCCTGTGGCAGGTGAGCATGGCACCACAGGGCCTTGTTTCCTGGGCCCCAGGCACATAGCCCCCCTCCCGTCAGACTTCTCCCTTTCCTGTAGCTCAGCTGGAGGAATTCCTACAAGTTGACTCTGGGGCTCTAGGGATTTGGGCCACAGGAAATATGCTACAAGCTCCTGGGGCTCCAGTCTCCTTCCCCCAGGCCCCGGCCACCTGGTTCCAACTAGTCTCCCAGTGACTATAACCAGCTGCAGGGACAGAGGGGTCAGGAACAGGATGGGGATCGGACAGGAGAGGTGCCCTGCGGCCGTGAGAACGCGAGTCGGGGGCAGTGGGGGGCAGTCTTCTTTAAAATATATGGCTATGCCAGGTCTTAACTGCAGCATGTAGGATCTAGTTCCCGACCAGGGACTGAACCCTGGCCCCGGGCACTGGCAGCACAAAAATCTTAGCCACTGGAGTAGGAAGTCTCCTTGGTCAGAGATCACTGCAGAGGGAGCTGGGGCAACCGGCAGACTTTGAGGGAGCATGTGACACATGGGGTCAAGTCCACTGCCACTCCTTTGATGACCTCATCTGGTCCTGAGGCTTTAAATGATCTCTGAGGACTCTCCCACACCATGTTTCCTGCCCCAACCTCCCCACTGAACTGCGGGCTGTGTATCCATTCGCCATCTCTGCACCCTCAGCATCCTCAGAGGAGCCCCCCGGACACCCCTGGACTAAGTTGAGGTTGCTTACACCATGCTCCCAGACTTCACACCTGTTTCCTGGGGAGTCGGAACACTCCAGGGTTACCTGTTCGCAAATAGCACCAGGCTGACTGCTGCATCTGTAGGTTGTAAGGGTTAAATGAGGTCATCCATATAAACAACTTAATGGGAGCTGGTCAGCCAATAGTACCATAATTATGGTGGACACTCAGACATTTATTGTTTGTGATGGAAAAACATAACGCTAGAAATAATATTTAAGTCAGAAATCACAGCCTTGGCTAAACCCTGGGAAATGCTGAGGAACCATGGCCCAGCTTGAACATTACCATTCTAAATGATTTCAGCCCCCTCAAATTCTCATGGGTCTGGACAACACAGCCCTGGCTAGATCTGGCTCAGTCTCATAGCCCAGGTGGCTGGGGGTGGGTGAACCCCTTCAGACCACCACCTACTATCCTCATGCGAAGTGAGGTTCGAGGACTATCAGAGCCCAATCACTAGGGTGCTTGTGAGAATGATGGAATCTTGCCCTCTTTCGCAGGATCTACTAAATCAGAATTTGTATTTTTAACACAGGTTTTGAGAAGCACTGTTTCAGATCACAGAATCTCAGAATATTTTTTAAAACCTGTGAATTTCCACCAAAGTCCTGCTTTCTAAACCAATACATCTCCATTTTACAGAGGAGGTATCTAAGGCCCATCTGTCAGTCACGCTAGTTTGTCAGAATCCATTCTCTGAACACTCTTGACTCCCAAACTCATATACCCTCTGCCTTCTCAAGTCACCTTGCTGGCTCTCTGCTCTGGAAGTGGTGGTGGTGGTGGAGTCGCTAAGTCGTGTCCAACTCTTGCAACCCCAGACTGCAAACCTGCCAGGCTCCTCTGTCCATGGGATTCTCTGGGCAAGAACACTGGAGTGGGTTGCCATTTCCCACTCCAGCTCCCTGCTCTACTCCCATTATTGAAATAAATGGCGGCCATGAGTGCCCTTGGAGGCTGTTCTCTTGGCGGCCAGACAAGGCTGGACACCAGGTGGTGTCTGGGAAAGTGGCCGGGTCAGAGCGAGCAGGTAGAGGAGGGGCCTTCCCAAGAACAGGGTGGGAGGCACCCAGTGCAGCCTGGGCTGGGACAGGGAGGCGGCCGAGAGGACCTGTTTGCTCTGCCTGGAGGGCTGGGCCCACACCACTGCAACCTCCCCGCCGCAGCCCCGGACAAAAGCTGGGCTGAGCGCCGCACCCCCGTCACCTAGCCCCCGTGGGAATGGCTCTGGCCAGGAGCTGCCATCGCCTGCTTCTTTCTCCCAGGGCCTGGTGACTCCTTGACAGGTTACAGCCCCAAAGACAAACAGATTCTGCCAAGCAAATAACTGTCCAATGGCGGAGGTGTTGGGGAAGGCCTGGGAGTGGGCCTGAGCTGCCAGAAGACCCAGGTGACAGGGTGGGGGCCCTTCTTCCGCAGAAAACAAATAGCCGTGGGTACCTGGAAGGAAGCAGGATGCGGGAGCACTGGTGCGGCACGAGGGCGGAGGCAAGGTGCTCACCCCAGGGGTCCCTGGGCCAGTCTCCCTCACGCTGGGCCCCGTGTCAGGCTACACAGGGATCTTGTGGCCGAGACTGGTTCTTCGGTGGCACCTCTGTCTTATGTAATCTGTGGCCACAGGTTCCCTCACCCAACTGCCTGCAAGGCGATGGCCGGGGAATCCCCCTCCCCATACCTACACTCCGGCTCAGCGCCAGGGCCACCATTCAGAACACTCAGCTCTGCTGGAGAGGGTGAAGGCCCGACCCGGGTCCTGCAATTAAGTGAAAACGCCAGCATCTGGGAGCCAATGCGCCGGGTCCCCGCCTGGGTGACAAGTAACTCTCCTCCCCTCTGATCTGCCTTTCCCTTCAACACACACACACAATGATACGGCTGAGGACACAGCTGAGTCCTGAGCGCCAAAGAGTCCTGAAAGCATTGGTCTAGTGAGCCCACCATTTGCTAATGTATTTGTCAATTAAGTTTCTTTCATGCTACAGACCTTGAAACCCAACTCACCATCTCCTGGCCAAGGTCATAGGTCTGTCTCACAAAAGTACATGGCGGGTAGGATCCAAATTTGCTTGTCAACTGCCTGGAGTGTGGGCCCTACAAGGTTCTCAGGCTGCCAGATCAGTCTGCAAAAATGTATCTAATCTGAAATCAACTAGAACCACACTAAGGAAACACATCAGGGAAAATGTTCCTTCTCCTCTAACTCCCAGTCCCAACTCACCCTTGTCTGCTGCTCCAGCAGGAGAGGCTGGTGGTGCTCGGTGTTAACACCCACGCGCAGGGCCTGACAGGCAGCACGCGTCCACAGTGCCCACCACCCACCCACCACCGCCGGTCCACAGTAACCGGTACATCTGTGCTGAGGACGCAGCAGTGCCCAACAGAGGCATGCCAGGGGCCCCGGGACCTGAAGGCCACCGGACGGAGCTTCTGGAACATTACAGGGTCACGGAGCAGGTTACACAGGGACTTCAGGGCGCAATAAAATCACTGACACACATGAAAATCGGGTTCTTGTTTCTTTTTTTGGTGTGTGTTAATTTAGTCATACAAATATTCGTTTATACAGTAAGGAAAACCTCCTCCTCTTCACCTCCCCCCAGGCTCCACGAGGCCCCACCGTGAGCACCCACCCAGCCTGCTTGCCACATGCCAGTGTCCAGGAGGAGGCAGCAGCCAGGCCGCCCCAGCATTCGCCCAGGGAAGCAGGGAAGGTGGGGCGGGGCGGGGGATCGGCTTACACCTCTGGGGCCTGGCAACCCCACCACCCTCTCCTGCCGGGGCGCACGTTCAGTTCGGGGAGGTGTTCATTCCTACACCTTCTTCCCTCCTTGGCCAGCCTGGGGCCACACTAGCTGTCCTGATGAGGTTCTTTTCTGGCTGCAAGTGCCTTTGATGGACTAAAGTTTATGGCCAGTCCTTGATAGGGGAGAGAAGGCTTGTTTCTTGTAGAAAAATGCCCCAAATTCAACTGTCCCCATGGCAAAAAGAAAAAAAGCATGCACACGTGCACACACACCCACACACAGCTCACTCCATGCACACAGAGAGGTTCCTCGCAAGCCGGAGCCCCTCTACCTCCCTTGCTGGGCTCAGGTCCTGAAGGACGGCACCTCCCCTCCTGGCTGCGAGACACAGGTGGTCCTGCCCAGAGGCAGCCTGCCATTTGGTAAAGAATCCAAGAGGAACTGAGCAGGCAGCCTCTGCCGCCCCACCAGGATGGGAGAAGAGGGACTCCAGGACTTGCTCGGAACTCAAATCAGGGAGAGGAGACAGATGATGGTACAAGGGCCTCCAGGTCCTGGGGCAACCTCGGACTCCTCCCGCCCCAACTCCATGGCTCTGGTCTCGGCAAGGAGCCCACCTCTCTGAAGATGTGTACAGAAATGGTTTTGTTCTTGGGAGGGAAGCCAACATGCTTGGGACAATTACCTTCCCAGGTGAGATTGCCGAGAAGCAAGAGGAGGGGCAGGAGCCCCCTGGCAGGGCCAGACCCACTGACGGTGACCTGTGAAGTCAATGCTGAGTAACAAATGGCAGGCAGCTCCCCCGGGAAGAGGGGAAGGGGCGGCTGGTGTGGGGCAGATCAGGAGGCCGGGAATCAGGGGATGTAGAGCCTCCTGCAATCCTGTGTGGGCAGCTGAAGATGCGATGCCAGCAAGCGAGCAGGGGGCTGGGCGGGGGTGCACTCCAGGGCGGCAGCGTCCGGGAGGCTGGCACCAACGGTGGCGGCAGTCTGGGCCTGACAGGGCCCTCAAACAAAAAGCCATCGTGAGCCCCTGGCTCGGGCCTGTGGGGGCCTGGGCACCCGGCAGGGACTCCTGTCTACTCTGCTGGGAACGGGGTGCTCTGTGTGCATAGAGAGTAGGTGCCCCAGGGTGAGCCCTGGCTCCACCCTCCCTCGGGTTTCTCCAGCGGACCAGAGTTTACTCCGCCTTTTATCTGGGCGGTAGGGAGGCATTGGGGGAATTTCATACAAGCTTTTCTCTCACAGTCAAGCTTTTAAAAAAACAACAGTCTCAGAAGAGGATGAGGAGGCACGAACAACACACATGTTCGGAACTCAGACACCCAGACAGAGACAGACAGGCAGGCAGACCCTCACCCACACCCAGGCTATACGACCCCTTGCAGCCGCTCATTGACCTGGCCTCCCTGCCGGTTCCCACCCTCGGGGAGGGGGACGGCGTGGCAACAGGCAGGCAACCCAGCAACCGCACCCTAGATCCGTATCCCGGCTATCAAACCAACCAAGACTCGGGGAAGGAGGGGCTGAGAAGAGAAGAGGGCCTTTGCATATTCTTGTATCTTTGGCAGACAGCTGTTCTGGCCTGGTTCCAGGTCCCCATGGAGGTGTCCACATCCCAGCCTACTCAGAACCCACAGGGCGCCATGGGGCCACCCGCTCCTGTGAGCAGCCGCCCGTCCTCCTGGGCTCCGCTGGGCTGCCCCCGAGCCCACCTCCTCCTAGTCACTAAGCATCCTGCGTGGGGCGGGGGTCATTTCATTCCCAGCAAAACGTGGTCTCCAAGATCACGCGGTCAGTAAGCGTGGCCCTTCCCTGGGGCTACGTTTTCATACCTGAACAGCCCAGCCTCCGCTAACAGGCTGCGAAGACACCACACTGGACAACGGCAGGGAGACAAGGGGGGAGGGAGCTGTGTGACAACAGAGAAGCACGGGAACCTCCACCCCCCCTGCTGCACGCTCGATGGGGAGCAGCACCAACCCTGCGCGCGTGCGCATGCAGTGCACACACACACGCAACACAGAGGCACTGCCCCCAGAGTGAATGGGGAGTCGCTGTGTGCCAAGAATCCGAGAGGCGTGCAATGAGCGTGCTGGTGCGGGAACGGAGGTGATCTGAGCTGTCACACGCGTGTGCAGGCGGACACCCCCCGGCCTCAGAAGCTCCGTCACCTGTGCTCTGTCCTCCAGGCTTCCGCTGCTGGCCGCACAGGGAAGTCTGATCTTCGGAGAGGTTCTGGTGGTAACAAGCCACAGGGCTGACGCATACAAATGTCAAAGGTGTAAATCAACAGAAGATTAAAGAGAAAAGAGGAGGAAAAGCGTGGTAATTCACTGGCTGGCGCCATTAAAAACAAACGGGGTCAGAGACTCGAGGAGTCAGGAGGCGCGGCAGGTGTCCCCCTGCGGCGCCAACCCGCACGGTCCCCGAGCAGGCCACGCCAGCTTTTAACCTGAATCGCTTCCAGAGCAAGCAGCTATTCTATAAACAGCATGTTATCCTTTATCTTAAAAAAAAAAAAAAAGTTGGGAAAGAGGGGAAAAAATTAACATGTGCTCAAAACTACAACCTGTCTGTAGGCAAAATAACTTCTGTCTAAAAAGATGGCTTTTTTCCCCCATTTAAACATTTTTTTCTGTTCCTTCCCAAGCAACCTAGTGACTTGTTAGACTGACAGCTAACAAACAAAGCCCAAAGTGGCTGCATGGATCTCTTCTTGGTAGCCTCAACACCACTCCTGCGACTCGGCATTCACACATGCACACTGAGTTTACTCAAAACTAGTCTTTTCTGCGTCTTCCTCTTCTTTCAGGACGGGGGTCAGAGCCAGGGGTCCGTGCGATGTGGTCTGCAATCCAGAGGAACCCCTTGCCCTCCCCCCCAGAGTCAAGCCTTCTGTCTTTTGTTAGTTTTTCTTCTTGCTGACACCCGTTTAAGACTGGCCGAAGGGGTAAGGCCCGTGGAGCCCCTGGAAGAGAGTGAACACAGTCAGTGGTGGCAGACACAGCAGGGACAATGAGACAACCAACCCAAGTAAAAGAACCCATGGTTCCCAGTGAGCCAGAAGGAAGCCCCGAGGCACAAACATGGCTCGAGGGCTGACTTTGCCACGCAAATCCTCAGGAGGCCACAGATCGCAGAGTGAGAGGTGCAGAGTGTCATCCCTCAAGCACATCCAAGAGAGCAGAGGCTGGTGGGCAGACTCCTCATCTCTCAACTTCTACATCAACTGGAACCAACTTCCCTCCACCCAGGTCACAAAGGCTTCCTTCTATCTAGACAACGCCTTACATCTCTGCTAAAGATCCTCGGACACCGCTTTCTGCACCTTAACTCAGGTGTAGGCTATTGTGGGCTGATGACACACACATATATCAACACCACAGACACTGGAGCAGAAACAGCAGCCGTCCAGCAGGCCCCTAGCAAAGGCATGGCAGCAGGGGCTTGGCGTACACTGTCTTTACCTCTCACCCCAAGGGCCAGGCGAGTGTTGTTATACCCATCTGACCGATGCCTATCTGACTGCAGACATGAGGAGATTTGTTCAAAGTCATGTAGGTAGTAAAGGGCAGAGCTCAGAGCCAAGCCCAGGTCTGATCTTTTTTCTCTTCACATTGCCTCTCCCTGGCCATGTGATGATAAGGTTTGTTCCAAATTCCCAAAGGCGTTTTCTCTGCTGCTTGGCTGGTGGAGAAAGCACCACAGTCTCACTTTTTCCTTATGTTAAGAATGAGACACCAAGAGGTGCCAACCCCAAAACAGCTGAATGAATTCGCTGGAGGATGTTCTGAGCCTCCCTACTCCACCGCTCCCTGAGCATGCACCTTGAAGAGACCTGGGCAATGCCAAGACCTGGGCAGGCAAAGGTAACTGGGAACCGGCCTCACGAAAGGTCTGACACCCCAAGCTGACTCAGAAGCATCTTGTTAAAAGACATGGATGGTTAGAATCCGATTTTCTTTTTAAAAACGACACTTTCCTTTGGGAAAAAAATGCAAAAAAGTGCATGCTTGCAGGGCTGCCAATGATCAGAACAGAATCCCTTTTTGTTTGATGCCATCTCTCCAGCACACCTGTCCCTGAGCAGCTCTTGTCGGCGCCCAGGAAGTACTACTGAATTAATAACTAGAAGAAGACAGGCATTTCTCAGACTACTACCTGGAGCATCAGACCCTTTTAAGTCATGAAAATACTGGCCTTTACAAGCCAAGTTTTTCTTGTTGTTGTTGTTTTTGGTCACATGGTATGGCATGTGGGATCTTAGTTCCCCAACCAGGGACTGAACCTGTGCTCCCTGCATTGAAAGGTGGAGCCTGACTACTGGGGAAGTCCTCTATACCAAGATTTTAAACAGCCACCCAACTTGGGGACACACGCATCCAGGTCATGCACCCATCTGATCACAGCCTCCTAGGTCCCAGAGAGGGGGGCTCCCTGGGAGCAGTTAGCTTGAGACGCATAGCTCGCACTTGTTCCCAAGGCAGTGGGCGGCGGGTTCCACAGAAGCAGGAGGAGATCTGGGTTCTGCTCCTGGCTTTTCCGCTTAGCTCTTCAAGTGGCCCTGAGTAAAGTCCCTTCCCCTCAAAGGATCTCAGACTGCTCCTTTAAACTTACAGATTTAAGGTTCTAGGAGCTGACTCAAAGTACCTAACTCAAGAGGCTGAAAACAAATATTCTAAGGAAAAAAAAAAAAAGTTCTTTGATCATGCTTATTTAGACCAGAGGTCAAAGCTGCCAAGAGTAAGGAACATGAGATTCAAGTTTTTAGTTTTCAGGGTTTTTTTTATCCCCCAGTGGAAAACACTGAAATTGCTTTTTGTCTTTTTATTTCCTCCCCCATAAAAAGCCTCAAGAGATCAGATACAGGTCTCGAGCTGCCTGATGGTACTGCCGAAGAAGTGAAAACGGGGGACAGACAGGCCAACAATGATATAGCATCAGCTATGTGCCGGGTGCTGCTGGAGCAGGTGAAAATGTTCTCCTGAATTTTCACACAGATAAACTGGGCTAAGCATGCTCTCCAAGCTCACAGAAGTGAGGCAGTAACCTGACTGAGAGCACAGAGCTGGTGAGCGGAGCAGTGGTGGTTAAAATGCCATGTCTGCCAGTCCCCAATTCACTGTGCTGCCAGCAGGCTGTCACTACCTCGGTGGTCACAGACCCATCCACTTGGTCAAGTGTGGGCAGGAGGAGCAAAGGGCTCTCAGACCTCATGGTGTGGGGCTTGGCTGGAGGGTCACACAACCCAGAGGTGGAAATTAAAGAAGCTTAAAACACGCTGCCCTCAGTACTTCTGGACAATGTTCACTCATGAACAACAATCCTAGGAGAATGACAAAGGCGTAGATCCCCATAAGATTTAGAACCAACACAAGGCTCAAAGGGCTTCGTGCAGGAAAGCATGCACAGAGAGAAGAAACCCTGAAAAGCACACACGCTTTCGTCTTCCATGAATTTTTTTCCCCTTTTCCCCTAAATTAGACTACTTTCTAGACGAACCTTCACACACTTCATGTGGGCCTTTATAAAGCAAGCACTAGCCTTGTGACTTGTCTGGAATGTTTGGAGAAGGGAGTTGATGACTTTGCCAAGGAGTGGTCGCACGTTACTAATTACAGATAAAGTGGCAGAGAGAGGAGTATAGATACAGGCATTTTCAGATTTCCACCTGAAGACTCTGGTCCTTAGAATATGCAGTGTGGTATTTAATTAGCTTAGATTAAGAATTATCACTGACCCCCTATTTACTGACTGAGGTGCTGTGTGCCTTGTGGAAAGAAAAATGCCACCTAATTCCCTTTCATCCAGAGAATGGCATATTGGAGTTGTTGACGTTTAATTGGTGCAAAAACATGGCTTGAAGAACAAGCTCTATCTTCCCTCCCCCCCAGATTAACTACTATCGCTTCAAGGAAGAGAGAGGGAGCTGAGTCTATTTCAAAACTACTTGATCATCTAGACTCCCCACATGCAGGATTACAGGCATCACAAGTGGGTCACAGAACACAGCAACGCAACCCCAGTCACAGAGGAGAAGCCTGACGGAGATTCCAAGAACAGCTTGTCCAGGGTGTCCGATGGCAGAAGGCCGAGCAGGAAGTGCCTTTCCTAAGAGTGGGATGGAGGTATATTCGAATCGAGAGCCCCATCCACATTTCAGGTTCCAATGGAGTTCCAAGACCCCGTGTAACAGGTCTGGTGGCTAATGTCTCCAACGCCAGTCTAAAAGGGTTTGGCAATATAGGTAAGTGTTCCCTCTCTCCTGAGACCTAGCGGCTCTTCAACTTGTTACCCCTGGGAAAAGCAAATGCCAAATATTTTCATTAGCCTGGCATCCCTGACATCTCCTCTACAGCCTCTGTGCCACTAATAAGGAAAACAGATCAAGGGATGGATGCATCAGATGGTATCAGAGAGCCCAGAGTTAAACTCCAACAAGCAGAGAAGGAGGTCATCACAGCATGATTACAAAGCTCACTGAGTTTGATGCAAGTTACCCTCCTCTCTATGAGGATTCATCTCTGCCCACATCACTAGCAGCAAGGCCAGATTTAGGCATACTAATAGACGGTGTGAATGACAAAACCCAGAGAAGAACTCTATCTGCCTCTTAAGGTCTAAAAACCCCCAGGACCAACTTACACAGAAATGGCTTTTCAAGGGCTGCATTTCTTGGGAGAGGCCCCACATCTGCGAAGGGACCAGAAAGCGTTCCTGACGAAGGAATGGCAGACTTTAGGTCCACAGGTGTTGAGGTGCTGCCTGTTTGCTTCAGTCTTCCCTAAGCTTTGCGATGGACACTGTCATGGCTGTGAGCCCTGGGACCTCAATTCTACTGGCAATGGGGCAGGTGAGTCCCCTTAAACCGCTCGAGGCCCACACTAGCCAGCTAAGACGGAGGGGCCTCCCTGCTCGTGGGCATCTGGGAAGAGACTCTGGCCTCAGGCCAGCCGGACTGTGCTTCTGAAAGGTAATAACCATTGTGAGCCAAAATTTGGCTAACCTCCTAAAATATTTTTAAAAGAGAACACTTGTAGACATAAACAGACAAGCTCAGTTTCATTCATCACAATCTTCTGAAAGGACAATTTAAGATCTAGTACTTGTGGGCCTGGGCTCAAAGCAAAACTAAAAATAAAACTATCTCTATGATTTGTTTTTCACAATGGTTGATAAAATCAGTGATTTGGTTTTCACTGATTTTATGTGAATGGGCACCTACAATATCTTTAAATTCGTCCTAAAATTACACAGAAATCAAAATAACTTTTCTAAAAAGGAGAACCAAAAACCCCAGGAAACTAGTTTTGTTTCAGCTGGAATACTTATTGATGTTTATCAGTAGAAAGATCATGCTATTAGAAGAGAAAGTTGCCCTTTCAAGATGGTAGAACCTGTTTCTGCCACTTATTTGTGCCTGGCATACAGTTAAGACCCAGGTGTCAGTAAAATGAATGAATGAACTGTGGAATACTCTGCATTGCTGAGCCATCTGTTTAACCTTCCAGGGGAGAAAAAAAGATTAAAATTCCTAATGAAACAAGGATGTCTTATGAGGGCTTTTGGGGTTACTCATATAGAAAGAGAGCTGGTTTAGATAAAGCATCACAACACAAAAACTTTCACATACCTGTCTTTATTTTATTTGTGATTTGATTTAAATAAATAAAAAGGTTCATGCTGGTTAATAAAAAGGCAAGAGTGTTTGCTGCACGGCTGTGAAATAGCATGCTCTCGCAGTGTGTACTGAGAGCAGCATCAGATAACACCACTGGTCCCTCCTCTCTCTCTTCCTTGGCCAGCCCTAGTCAACGCTTTGCCACCTAGCACTTCTTTTGTATTGCTTATGTGCCCTGAATGCAAACACAGAAGAATACACGGTTTAGTACTGAGTTCTGTTCTGATCCTGCACTGCAGATCTGCTGCAGGGAGGCCCTGTCACGGGGCTGGCTTGGCTGGTGAAGG